GACTGACTGACTGACTGACTGACAGACATTGACATGTCAGTCAGTCAGTCAATCGAGTTGAACGGAACATTTGCCCATCTCTGATGTAAATTCTTTATTCCCAACTCGAAATTTTTCCATCATTTACCTTATATCTAATTTGAAAATAAAAAATATTTCTAGACTTACTTTTGATATAAATGCTCTCAAGGGAACTGAAAATCGAAGGAAACTAATTTATTAATCATTATTTTTAATTCCCGCGTGTGACAATTCTACGGCTTTAAGTAAAAAGTTTCATTTCTTTTTTCCTCCAAGATGGTTATTGTCTTCCTGAAAACTTAGATTAAATTATTAATTGTTCTATGCTTCTGCGTGTTTTTTATTAAAATATTAAGAACAAATTTTGAACGATGATAAATTTCCACGAATGATTATAATGGTTGGTGCTTTCGGTGTTTCGTAAATGTTCAGAATTTGATGTCAGAATTTGCTGTAAATAGTGGCACGCATGTAATGAAAAGACGTAAAAAACTTCGAAGTAGACATTCTCAAAATGAATATTATGAAAACGTACAAATGATCACACTAATATTTTTTGCTTTCAAAGCTCTTCGTTTCATGTTTTTCTTTTTGTGACTCGCTATTGATTAAATGGCACAATCAATGATATTTAGTTATTCAACTACATTTAAGGTAATTCAATTAACGTGCTTGTATAATAGCACCTTTAAGTGCTTCTTCTAACTACAGCGCAAGTTTGAAAACGAAAATTCAATTGTTCTACAAACTGACGATATTGTGTATTAGCTCATTTTATCAATTATCTGTGTCAAGACTGATACATAATAACAAAAATATCTAAGATTAAATTGGATTAAAATATTTGAATAGAAAATTGAAGGATACTGATGGTACTTACCTAATGTTGTTTATTTGCCTTTGGTGACACTTCTACAGATTTATGTCTATATTTACTTAGCAGCGACTTCTTAACAAATTTTAATATTGGAACAAATATAATGTGTCATCCTTCTTTGATCCGTTATGAAACCAATAACTATACTTAATTTGAAAATCGAAAATATTGAAAAGATTGAAACAAATTAAAGAAATAAATTAAACGCGTTTTTTTATTT